TCTAGACATTCCTGAGGTCTGGAAAGCAGAGACCTCTGAGTCAGTCAGGTCATGGCCTCTTGCTAAATGAGCTGTATCTGCTTCAAATGGACACTGATTACTTAAGCAAGAAGGAGTTCCCAACACTAGCATGTCATTGAAGGTATGGTAACAGCTTAGGACTTAAGGGTGTGCCCCAAACTACCTGAGGTATAACCAAATAATGATTTTCAGGTGTATGCTGTTCTTATAATGAGACATCAAGACTCTTTTTAAATTACGAACAGATGATCACATTTAATATCAAATCAAACACATCAGTGCAACAAAAATGAGTGTTGTTTAATGGTCTGCTTGGTTTGAATACACAAAAGGATAAAGGGTCTTTTTCTCCCCTAATTTTGCTGACTCACTTTCCCCTAATTTACACTGCCCTGATTAAATAGACTTTCAGGGCTGTACTGGAGATTAAAAATCCACTCTGAATGGTTTGCTTTGTCACTCATTCATTAAAGCATTTTTAAAGACTGTCCCACGTGCGTGGTTCTTTTTATTTGGCAAAAATGTTGTAAGACACATCCGGAATGAAATAATATTCCAGTTAAAAGTTTGGAAATTGTGGCTCCGCTTGGGAAATTTACGACAACTCCAGGAGAGGAGAGCGAGGGAGTTTTTTTTAAATATTTTACCCAGCCAAAGAAATACAGGAAACGTCTCACTATTACATTTGTCCTCCTAGCACCACTGTATGCCTTTGATTACTGTTTCATAGAAAGGATTAAGTGCTGTAATCACTTAACTAATGTTGTATGGGCTGTTATTTAAAGACATATCACTTTCTATACATTAAGTGATTGCAATGTTTATATGTTTAGATAAAAAGAATGCTCAATAAAGAAACAAGTGTAAATACAATAATACATAAGAATAACCCTTTTTGCACACTGATCCAGCTCAAGAACCTCTTTAAAAAAGGTTTAATAGATCACATGTAATAGTTTATATCAGTGGTTCTCAACTGGTCTAGCCTCAGGACCCACCAGCAACTCCTTCATGAAAAATCGCGACCCGAATTTCAGATATTTTTCAACCAATCAGGTGTCTTTCAATGAAAAATTGTGCAGTTTGGAACTCAGTCAGTACAAAACGAAAAAGCGCTTCATAGACTTTTTGACACTATATTTTTTCTAGGCACACATAAGTGACCCCCTGAAAATGGCTCCGCGACCAACTTTTGGATCCCGACCCACCAGTTGAGAAACACTGGTTTATATCATTACCTTTTCCATTATATTGTTATTAATACAGCTTGATTTTCTGTTCTCCTTTAAACAATCAAATATATTCATTTATACCACCCAGATATATAAAAAGGAAGTCTAAATGTGTAACAATATTTAGCTAAATCGACAATGTCTGGACAGTCAATAATTAACAGTTATAAAAATATATAAACATACACAAATGATGAATTGTTATATAATTTGTAGAACAGCTGAATATTCTCCAGTCTTTCCAGCAAAGATCTGACTTATCCATAGAGGCGTGACCCCTCTGTTTCTTCTTCCAAATTCCATCACATTATGGCCCCATATAATATAATATTATGTTATAGAAATATAAAGAACATTGTGTTTTGGCAGCTGGGGTTGACTGAACTCGTAACTGGTTTTAAATATTTGAAACACCAGAGGAGTTCATGCTGAGACAGGGTGCTGCACTCCAACCATGACCTCGGCTTCAATCACATATTTAACCAGGAGGCCAGAGCTAAGCTCCGTTTTTAATCAGACATATGTGACTGCTACAGTATTTTTACTCCAAACTATAGTACTGTCTTATTAGGTGGGCTGTTTTTTATTTTGAAAGGATGGTTGAATAGTCCAGAAATTATGACACAGCAGAAACGATTCGATTTGTTTATTGTTTACAAGTTGCGTTGTATGTATACCCCAGAGTTTAGATATATATCTCTGGAAATATGTTTCTTTGCCTGCATCTTTTTCACACTTCGATGTTTCTGTAGTCACAGGAAAAATAATATGCCACTTTCCTGCCTTCTGAAATCAGTGTTGTTTTCATCCCAAAGAAACACATTCAACATCTGAGCAGTTGTTTGTTCAGAAAAGTCAGCACATGCACACCATGTATTTAGGTTATCCTCCTTCTCTTACATTATTTCTTCCTTGTATTGTTTACACTGTTTTGTTGTTATTCCTTGTTAAGCTTCTTTGAGTACTTAGAAAAGTGCTATAAAAGTCTAATGCATTCTTATTCTTATTAGGTGCTGAGTTTTAAAAAATCATAGCACCTGATGAAGAGCCATATAATTAGATCATTAAGTCTATCTTTGGGAGCCATATGCAAGTCGTTGTGCACCAGTTGTTTGTTCAGCCAGAAGTTCCTTGTTTACAATCACCTTGTTTAGGGCATTATAAAAGAAAAGTTCACTTTCATAGTATATTGTGGACTTGATGAACACCAGAAAGGTCAGCTGGTTGCCTATGGCTGTCTGTCTGGTGCTTATTAGAGGAAACAGAGATCTTTCTTTCAGTTTCCAGGTTTCACATGGGAGGCATAAGCCAAACTTTCAGAACATTACAAGGACACTACATCTGTCCATTGTTGAATGATAATGACATTACTACATGTAGAATTTCAGATGTTTCATGTGGTTTCAGATTGGTACTTCAATACTTAAGCGTAGTCAGTGCCCTTAGTTGTCCTCATTTAACCCCTCCCGACCAAGCTCACTGCACTGCTGTCGTTTTTTTTGTGGATAAGGACACTTGCCTGCTGTGATACTAAGGGATCTTACAATGTCCCAGACACACATCATTTTATATTGCAGAGCTTTGTTCCCAAATCTCCCAAATCTTTGCTGTGATCCAGTGTGAGGTCTTGATCCCCTGTGAAGCACTCAACTGCACTGCTGTTAGGGCATCTGTCTACATTACACCATTATTCAGTTTCTCCATTGAGTCCAGCTGACAAGACATTGTAGTTTTATTCTACAATTATTTCTATTCACTACTTACAATGTTTAAAAGTCCAGGTATCCAGAGACCATTCTCACCACTGGTCCCTTGTGAAGCAATCAGGGCTGCACACAACAGCTCCAACGCACCTGATTGCTGTTGTCATTGAACTTGGTTAAAGCCTCATACATGCATACATACATTCAATTCATAATATCTTGTGCTTTCAAACAGAATAGCTGCAGAGATTTTGAAAGAGATTCCTCTGAAGTGTCTTAAAACTAAAATAACAGCTTATGACTCACATTCTCTTTTTTTTCTTTTTTACAGTCAATATTGATTGAATAAAACATGGAAGTTGTCTCAACGGCATACCCCATTGGTTACTGAAGGGAAAATTTGAAGCACAATGATGGTGGTTTCCAAATTGAAAACGTTCTCTCAACCTAACTTTTGGTGAACTTTGGCCAAGCACTCTGATTTTTGAATCAGACATTTTGCCTAATTGGTATCAAACCCTTTAAAAGACAGCTTTGGCAGGCATTTAAGATGTTGTGCCCTGGCTCATCTTGCCTTATTAGAAGATTTTGAGCAACACTGATTTGTGTGGTCCAACTTGTCCTGTTAGAGAGTGTCACAGCCTGATCCCAGAGAGAGCTGTGTCACATATAATACTGAAAATGGGGTGTCTTGGGGTGAAAACTGTGTGGTATTCTGTTATCATCAAGTTGCAGATACTTCCTGCTTGTGTGCAGAGGTGTGTTTTTTGTTTTGTTTTGTTTTTTGCACTGAGCTAAATATCAAACCTCTTCTTCTTGATTTCTTTAACTATTTTCTCTGACCCAAAATAATTTACAGCATTTGTCACCTTCCCCCACTGCAGCATATTTTAATTCATTAGTAACTTCCCCACTAAGTCAACAGACTAATCATTTATTTGGTTCACTGAGCACGAGAGATACAAACTTTTAATTCTACAATTATTTTTAAATCAACCTCATCCTACTTTAATTTGGTCGTTATGAAGCTCCATTTCTTTGCTCTCTTTGCCATTATTCTGTGGAATAATACATAATATTTATGTGGTTTTTGAAAGGGGTGCGTTGTTACCACAGCAGAGGTGGGATTTATCAACACTGAATGCAAATGTGCGTAAAAAATAAAAAGTATGGTATTGGCCTCTAAAAAAATAAATGTAAAAACAAATGCAAAAACAGTGGTTATAATGTTGCCAGTTTTTACAAACAGAACTAGACTATCTGCAAGCAACATGGATGTACTTCATCACCCATTAGTTGCCATTTATTTCAATGCTCTGAGGCCTTAAAGACTTTCCAGCACGCAACATAATGTTGATCTTTATAGAGGAAGTGTTTGTCATGTGTTAATATTTACCCCCCACCCCCACCCCCCCCCCCCCCCCCCCACGGCTCCACAATAAAGGGGATTCTTTCAGAAAACTTGTTGGAATCTATGGCCATTGTCAATTTTATGTTTCTATAAAAGCGCTTTTAAGACAGTGCCCTGCTGAACCACATGTTGGAAGAAGACCGCAGTGTGCTGTTTTACATGTGCTGTAAGCCTTCCTTAAAACACATGTTCCATTGTTTCTATGTTCAGGGGTGTCTGGGTTTTAGAAGATTTAAGAATAGGATTTCAGGCAGACATGATGATTTGATTCAGTTTTGAAGAGGTATCCTACTGCTTTGCTGAGTTTGAGAAAAATGGGGAACAGGATTCTACTCGTAGCTCGTCACCGCCTCTTGCTGGTTGAAAAAAGATACTACAAGGGGTTTACAATTCAAATCCAAGACCAAACCTTGGATGGGCACCTGTGAACCTAAATGTGAACTAGCATGTAATGCATACAAACTTCTCTAAGTAACACTTTATAGTGCGACAAAATTGTGGAGAAAAAAAAATGGGAGGGATTTAGGCCATTTCACTGATAAGCAAACTTTAAATGAATGTATCATTCCACACTCCTGGTCGACAGGTGGCGATATTATCTGTGTTTTATTATCCTCCCTTGGTAGTCGCACAGAAATCATTCAACATGGCGGCCCACAGGGTAGCATGTTTAGGGTTGAATGCCCTTTATTCTTCTGTGTGCGCCCCAAAGCAGGTAACTTGCTTATAATTGTGTTATTTTGTGAGTGACTATAGACTTAGGGTAATGCTATCTCGCAAATTAAAATCGTTGCGATAGAGAAAGCAGCATTTGTGGTGGTAAGCTTTCCGACATGACTTACTTAACACGCCAACAGACAGCTTCTTTAATACGTTCAAAAAGAACTCTTGTTGTTTGTTTGTTTTGGTTTGTTTGTGGCATGGTTAGTGTTTTATTAGCTACAGATGCATTGAAATAATTCTGGAGCCAGTTCATAAAATGTTTTAAATAAGGTAACGGTGTCTGCAAATGCCAGCTTTTGACCTGTGTCGTAAATCCTCTGCACATTTCTGCTCGATGTGTCAGTCTGAGCGACCGAAGAGAAAATGATGTCTCCATCAGTATCACTTCATTTTGCCGGGAAGGTACAATAGTAGAATCTAATGCAACAATGACAATTAGTGATAACATGAGCTGAGTCATTCCTTAAGATCCATGCTTGGTCTGACAGTGTGACTAAGTCCAAATTAAATGTCTTTAAATTATTCAATTTGCATCTAAGCTACTTCTATCATCATCATCAACCTTTATTTAAGTTCTCGGAGAGATCATTAAAGGGTGACCCTCATTTACAATGATGCCGAGAAAACATACAGAAAAGATAAACAACGAGAAATGAGATAAAGCTACTGCAGAAAATAAAATCAATAAAAGACCAATAAGAACAACAGAATATATACACTCATAATTTAAAAGCTTGAAATTACTGCAGGGATAAGTCAGCAATTAAAATCAAATAAATAGTATGTTGTCCGCCTGGGGAAATGATTGTCTGACAACCACTAACAGCTGTTTGAACACTGTGTGCAGGCCCTGAGGAGCTGCTGGGGGGCGGTGGAGCAGGTGAGGAGTTACTATGTCGACTGGAGGATGCTGAGAGACCTCAAGAGAAGACAGATGGCTTTTGAGTATGCCGATGAAAGGCTACGGATCAATGCACTGAGGAAGAATAGCATCCTTCCCAAAGAACTTCAGGTATAATGTAACATTTGACTTTTTAATCGATAGTCGGTGTGCTTCAGGATATCCATTGTGAAAAATCTTCTCCTTTTATGAGTTTATCATTTTGAATACAAGTCATCAATTACAGTGAAACTATCACAGTTGTGACCATTAAGCAGGTGACTCATAACAAAGCTTTTTTCATTATAATCACAGACAATAAATATTTCTGCATTTAAAAATCTTTGCAGGAGGTGGCAGATAAAGAAATTGCAGCACTACCACGGGACAGCTGCCCTGTGAGAGTACGCAACAGGTGTGTGATGACTTCAAGACCTCGGGGAGTGAAACGGAGGTGGCGACTGAGCAGGATTGTATTCCGTCACTTAGCTGACCACAACCAGATATCCGGGATTCAGAGGGCAAGGTGGTGACTGGGGATCCATTATGCTCCCGTTGGACTGGATCTTAAACATCAGGAAAGGAGGATATCAGTTTTCATGCATAGTTATTTCAGACTTTTGATGTCTAGAGTCTTTAGATGTAACAGTGATAAACCAGTACCACCAAGACCCACTAAAGCACGGAAGGTGTTCACGTTTAAAGTGAGTCTACAGTGATAACTTTCTGATTGTTGTCTCTCCTGGTCTGTAGGTTTTTGTTTTTTTGCTTATGGCTCCTATGAAGAACATCCAAATACAAATGTAAAGAGAAATGGTGATGTGTCTCCTAACTGAAGCCAATGTTCCTGTACATTATTTTACTCCTAAATGTATGAATAAATATTGTTATAAATGAATGACTTCCTTTTTGTTAAATATACAAGTTCATACAGAGTCTCACATAAGAGGAAAACGAATGAATGTGTCCTGCCATTGTTATTACCACATACAGTAGACAAACTTTGTAACACATTTCAATGAAATAGATATATTCTGCGGTTGTATGTTTCATGTTCAAGTATGTCTCTTGGCTATGTTGCAAAACCCCTTGACTCAAACATGCCATTATGAATTATATATATTATTTACAATACTCTGATAATCGTATCGATATTACATTTATGTTAAAATGTTGGAATATTGGGGCGCTGGTGGAGCAGTGGTTAGTGCGCGCGCCCCATGTATGGAGGCTGTCGTCCCAAGCGGGCGGCCCGGTTTCACATCCCACCTGTGGCCTCTTTCCCGCATGTCATTCCCTGCTCTCTCGCCCTGATTTCCGACTCTATCCACTGTCCTATCTCTCCATTAAAGGCCCAAAAAGCCCAAAAATAAATCTTTAAAATGTTGGAATATTTCAGCATCCATTCAAGTTAGTGTAAGTTACAGGGTAAAGTCAAAAATATGATGATAATAATTAAATCATGTAATAAAAGTCATGCTTATTCTTGAATCATGAAAGTATAAACAACAGTTTTTTTAGATATATATATATATATTTTTTTTTTAAGAATGCCTTCAAATTGGGGCGGCTGTAGCTCAGTTGTGGTCCCTCAATCGGAAGGTTTACGGTTCAATCCCCAGCTGAGCAACATGTCCGATGTGTCCTTGGGCGAGACACTTAACCCCTTAACTCCCGCTTCTTCAGTGGCGGTGTATGAATGTATTAGTGTTGTACTTACTCTCTGATAAAAGAAAAAGCGTCTGCTAAGTGAATTGTAACTTGTATTGTAACTTCAAATTGGCCCTACAGGTGGCAGCAGTGCGCCTACTACGCTTGCTTGCTGTCCACCATCTAAAAACAAAGAAGAAGAGCGGAAGTATCGCACTAGGCTAGCACAGGCGAGACGCGTCCCTTGAACTTTGCGTAGATAACTGAGAAAAGCAACGCTTAAATGGCTCTAACCGAACAGGTATACAGTATTTTTTAATTATTTACTAAGCACACGCTAATAGCTTCGTATTGTTCTCCCTGAATTGTACTTCATAATTATGTCACAACAGTGAAAGCTAACATTAGCCAGCTGAGCTAGTAAGATAGCCACTGAGAACCGGAGAAGTTCGCAGCATTTTAATCTATTCAACCTATTTTTTTTTATTTTTTCTAAATCAAACTGATCAGTAATTGTCTAAATAGGGTTATCGGTGTCTTCTCAGGTCTGGCTTTAGGATGTTTTAAAGGCTAGTCGGCAATCAGAAAATTAGCAGTAGCTGCAGAACAGTCTGGCAATTATTTGTCTCCAAGACACTAAACTTTGTTTTGCTCACAAGGGCGTTGCCATCACGTTTCTATTTTAAAACATGTGAATGAATGAGACTAAATGCTCATGTACAGACATCCTTTTCAGCCTCCACCAGAACCGGGGGGAGGGGAATGGTGTTTTTATTCCAGAAAAATAAACCATCCTAAGTATTCTTCATTCAAAGGAATCAAATCAAGGCATGCTGTGAAACCTTTAAGAAGAATTATAGATGTGTTTGGGACATTGGGGACTCTGACATTTTGCATCTTTGACCACACCTGCCGTCACAGAGCCTATTGGTGTTGAAATGTATATATGTGGGTGTGGCCCCCGACCTGAAGAAGAACTGTAGCTGTGATGAGTTAAAACTTTTTGTGGCATTTGAGCAGCTATCTTCTTCCTCAAACATGCAACATGGTATTTTTTTCATTTGAGGTGTTAGGTTCCAGTTAATCATTTGTTTGTTTTTTTCTGTTAATCTATAGAAAGTAGGCTGAGGGGAAACACATGTTTGTAGTTTTACACATCATCTAAGTTAGAGGTTCTATCCAACGTATCATTGATAAGCATATCGCTGTGGTTTAACTCTCTATTGCAAATGTAGATCAACCAGCTGGAGGCAGATTTGCAAGAGCTGGGGTCGCTCTTGGAGAAGGCAGAGAGGAAACGGGTCCAGGAACTGCTGCAGCAGGAGAAAAAGAAAGTGGAGAAGGAGCTCGCGGCCAAACGGCAACAGAAAGAGCAGCAAGCCAGGAGAGAGGCCGACCCATCTGCTGCCTCTAGAGCAAAATACACAGTCAAGATCACCAACTATGGTACGGTGCTATTGTTTCTTTCTACTGGTTTATAACTACCTGTCAGTTATGCAAAAGTGTAACCGATAGGATCAGTGCCAGACCTGGAAAGGTATCTTAATATTTCTCACACTTTTGCATCTTTTCTACAGCGTGGGACCAGTCCGAAAAGTTTGTCAAAATTTACCTTACATTGAAGGATGTTCACAAAATTCCGGCAGAAAACGTGGAGGTCAACTTCACAGAAGGGTGAGCTGATATTCAACATCGTGCTAAAATACACAGTGTTCATTGTTTTGGTTCATTGTGTTCATACTGTTTGGTTTGCTCACTCTCTCTTTGACAGGTCGTATTCTGTTTTGGTAAAGGAGCTGGATGGGAAAAACCATCAGATGACCGTCCTCAACCTGTTATATCCAATCGATGAAAAGGACAGCTATAAGAAGGTGACTCATCAGTCAAAGCGTTTTTCAAAATCCAATATGGAATGACATATGTGGAAGCTGTAAATGTGACAAATCAATTACAATATTTCAGTCACTTCATGATAATTGGACAGTTTTACACCTCTTTACATCTTGGAACCGTTTCTGATGAAGTCTCAGCCAAGACTAGCAGAAAGTTCTGGAAGTTTTTTTTTTTTTTGTCTACAGTTTTACTAAAATAAGCATTTTGCCATCACTGCTGGACAGAAAGTCATCTCCAAAACATATCAATCCTGATTTTCTACTGATACTACCACAAGTTCTTAAAGCTACGTTTCTGCTCAGCAGCTGTTTTTATTTTTTTCAAATCCTTCAACTGCAACAAAAAACATTGCTGTCTAATGGTTACTTTTGTTTGCCAGCTGCAAAATTCAGGCCCAGTGTCCACTTGCATATACCCCTAAAGCCAAACTACTAACTTCAAGAGAGAGACTTGTTGGCTTATTTAGACTAGAGATCTTAAACTATTTTTTTTCTCCTGTCAACAGATCAAAACAGACATGATTCTGCTCATGTGCAAGAAGCAGACAACAAAGAAGTGGGACTGTCTAACGAAGGTGGAGAAGCTGTCTAAAGAGAAAGAGTAAGTTCATAGAGTAAAAGATATTGATTCCATTTCAATGGGATCTGAACGGTGAGGCCACTAAATCATAAAGGAGTTTACTTTTGCAAGGCATATTCAACATGTATTATTACACACATGTTGAGCATCATAACAACTACTGATGTCGATTTATTTTCAGTAGCTTTATAACTCAATTGTGTGTGCAGTTTCGTAAAACAGTTAGCATAATGAACATCACATTCTGAAAAACAAAATCTGGCCAATTATAGATTCAAGTGTGAATATGTCACACTCATTACCTGATCCACATCTACAAGAGAACATGAATAAAAACATCAGATACAGCATGCTGTCATACAGGATGTATGGAGGCCACAACAGGCTGCATAAGTCTGTCAGGTCAAAGCCAGTGAATTCACAAAGATGATTTCTGTTACTTTTGTCTGAAGGTGTGTCTGACCCCGAACTGGTAGATGGTTCTGAGGCTGCCTCCACAGACATAGATGTCTACTTTAACTATGTCAGTGCCAGTGCAGAATTATGATGACTGGCTATTTTTTGTGGCAAATAAGTCGTATTAATTCCAATATGACTGTTCAAACTGAGGATGCGTAGCAAAAAAGTCAGATCAGCACCTGGTTTAAGCCGCATATAAAAGTCGCCAAAATCTAAAAGTAAAGTTTAGATAGTCTATAGTTTATGGTTCTGGTTTGAAAATAGAGTTCTCAATCACCTTTTTAGCAGGAAAAATAGATTTGTGGCATTCAGCTGCAGTGCAGTACTGTATTTCTGTGCCTGGTGTCACTATTTATGATGCAGCATGGTTGCATGCATACAGAATGAGAATGAGGAACAAATTGTCACCATGTTGTCCTCAACAGCAAACCCAGTGCAGATGCCAACGCGGACCCCAGCGAGGGCCTGATGACCATGCTGAAGAAGATTTACTCGGACGGAGACGACGAGATGAAGAGAACCATCAACAAAGCGTGGTCAGAGTCCCAAGAGAAGAAAATGCAAGGAGGAGTAGGAGACATGATGGACTTCTGAAGTGCACCCACTGTTATACACAGAGTGAGAGCTGCCAGGGATTTATTGACATGACTTGAATATTGTAATTGATGGGTTGAAACATAAGTCCAGTATATATTACATCATTCCACAACATCATTAGAAATGAAACAAAAAGTCTCCTTCTGGACTTATTTTGGCCCTGGAATTAACAGCAACACATGTTTTCGTATTCCTTGGACTTGATGCATAAACCTGTTAGTGAATGCGTGTTCTTTCAGAAGGGCGTTGGCCAGCAGATGGCAACATTGTACACAGCAAGAAATCCCACAAATGCATCACTCATTTAGTTGAAGTCTGATATGATGTGTAATGGGACCACAGAGCAGTTTTTTTTAACAGAAGAAATTGTCAGTAGGTGCTCAGTCACCACCTAATATTGAACCTGTGTGTCTGTATTGAGCTGATGTTCCTGTTGTTTTCCACTGTTCATTTGCCAAAGACGTGACTCTAAACTCTACATATCATATTCCTTGTCATTCCATAAATACCCATTCTTGATCCATAATGCACTAAAATGTGTCCTGTGTAACTCTGTAATGTTACTCTTTGAGTCCTGTTCACGACACTTGTTTTGATTTCCCTCAAACATGTTGTATGTAAAGTGTCTGTTCTTTCATTTAGTTAATTATTTGATCACAAATCTGTCACACGTGCTGTCGCCTGACTTCAGGCTGTTCATGAAGTTCTCTCAAATATACATCTTGAGTCTTATTTTCCTCTGATTTTGTGATCCACGGTTATTATGTTCAGTGTTGTCTGCAAAAAAATGTCTAAGCTTGGCTTGTCACAATTAAGAAAGGAATGCTTGTGCACAAAGCATTGGTCTTTTAATGTAACAGATCTACATAAAAGGACACCGGTTTTAAACCCAAGCTGTACTTTTTAATCCAAAGAAACCCTCAACTTAATTTATAAGTAATTAAAAAAAATAGATCCCTTAGGTTATTGTTTAAATCCAGGACATTTAAATCAACCATTGTGTCTTTATTATATGAGGTCATAGCAGACAGACTTAGAATTAGTAATTATTGATGAATTTATTCTTAAATCCTGCTAGGCATTGGCAACCCAGCTGTACGTTTTGTCCACCAGGTGGCGGCCGCGATCGATAGTTCTCGAGTTCATGGGGGTATTTGTCTGGGCATTTCACAGACGCGTTCTGGGGGAATTGTAAACCAAGGACTTATTAAGAAAATTGTTTCTTTGTATTCATTCTGAGAAGTGTGGTACGATATGAGCCAACACTTGAGCTGTTAAATTAAAAGTCTCATAGCCATAGTTTCATATGTGAGATACTGATGAACATAATTAATTATATACTTGTGGACAAATGGAAATGGGGCCATATTTTATTTCATCCATAGTATACAATCCCCTGTATGCTCGGGATTAGTTTACATAAATTAGATTTGGTGATTATTAACGTAATTAGTCATTTGCAGCACATGTGAGCATTTTACCAACCAAGAAAAAGATGCATGATAATCGTGGTAAACCTTAACTCTTCTTAAAAGAACTGTCTGAAACTTCAGTAAAGTTCCCTCCCCGCTCGGCTTACAACACCTCAAAAGACATGAGATACATCAACGTGAGGTGAACCAATTCCGTTTTCATGAGCTCTTTTCATTCACGTTTTCATATACTCCAGCTGCAATTTTTTTTGACTGAGTCAGTCTGAGCAAATCGTCTGGACTTTCTCCGGCAGTGCGCCTCCTCCCTCCCGCCCCCGCCCCCTGCTCCGTGACGTTGCTGCTGGTTTATAAAGGCGCATGGAGCTCGGCGCAGACACGCCAGATGGATAGAGTTGGCTGTGCCGGATACATCCGTACGCACTAGACCAACTGCTGAGAAAACAAGCGAAGGGATATTTGTTTATATATATTTACAAACACTCTGATTTTGACACCGCTGTGTTCAATGGATACCGGTTGTTTCACTGCAGCGCAGCGAATTTCGTGTCACACCATGAACGCGGATTTATTTAAGCCTGTTCCGGAACGTGGACCCCAGCGGGTCCCTGTCGCGGTGAAAACCAGCAGGACTAAAGCCGACCAAATCAAACCGGAGCTGGCCCAAGTAGTGACAGACTCCAAAACAGGAAGATCCTACAGCAAAGGGAAGCTTCTGGGAAAGGTACGGAGACTGATTTAATATTTCAAACATGTGCTTATTTGGCTTCACGTCAGTTTTCTTTTTTTTTTTTGGGGGGGGCGTTATATCTGAGGCGAATGATGTATCTCTGATAGAGTTTGTGTTGGGTTGATACCAAAGCTGTCGATGATTATAGGTAGCCTAATCACCAGCCATGTTCCAGGTGTGGTAATAATGCTGGTAGAGGGTATGACCTCGTGGTGGATGTGGCCAATCTCCCCCTGCCGTGCGTCGTTACTGAATGATTCAGGCGCAAGGTGTGCCCAGCTCCTGTGCGCACATGCCAACCCCTTTTTATAATAGCCCCCAAAGTGATCACTTACAATAATCCTTGTATTTAAACGGCATCGCAGACGACTGCTTTGTCGAAAACATCTCCCTGACTACGCCACGACCCCCGTCTCCTCTATCAGTTCTCCGCTGTAATGATTTTAACATGGTATGTGCCATGTATGAATGAGCGGCTGTATCAACATGTTGCTCGTCATCGATACGCTGCATCGGGCTGCCAGCCAAGTCGTTTCCCCTTCTCTCGCTCTCTCTCTCTGTGCTGCCTGCCGCAGAGCTGGAAATGTCTCCGTCAATTTCACGGTTAATGAATGCAGCGGCTCTGTCTGCCTCATCCCTCACGTCCTCAAGCCTACATAATCCTGATTGTAGTCAGAAATGTGCAGGAATAAGCAGCTGCAAACATGATATAAGAGGTTTATCGTCGGTTTTTAGAAGTACATGAGATCACCAAAGGCAGTAAAAGATGCTGTGCAGCTGATTACAAAATGATGCAGCTGAATAGTTAACCCTTTTAGACTGCTTAAACTGGATTGATTATTGATTTCCCTCCACACCAGCTTGTCAGACTTGGCTAAATGCCTTCTAAACATTTTGACTTATGAACACTTATTGCTCCGAAGGATCAAAGATTTACAATTGAGGCAGATAATTTATGGCCTTTGCAGGTTTTCAACCTGCTGCTTTTGTTAACTGCTCATCCTGTTTGTCTCTCCCCCAAGGGCGGCTTTGCTCGATGCTACGAGATGACAGACCTCTCTAACAATAAAATGTATGCTGTGAAGGTGATTCCACAGAGCAGGGTGTCCAAACCGCACCAGAGGGACAAGGTACATGATTACGCTTGTTTATGTTCTGCACAGAGGACCATGCAGTGTCCTGAATTCAATATCTGGCTTGTGTTTTGAGATGCGAACACAGATTGACGTGTTCTCTAATTAACAGATTACGAACGAGATCGAGCTGCACAAAACCCTGTCGCACAAGCATGTGGTGAAATTCTCTCATCATTTCGAAGACCAAGAAAACATCTACATATTCCTTGAGCTCTGCAGTCGGAAGGTGAGTCTTGAGAGAAATTTCTAGAACAGGCTGCACAGCTTGCTTGTGCTTTGCTTGCACGTACACAGCTTGTTCCACAGTGGCACAATAGCGTCTGCACTCATACTTCAAACTAGATTAATAAAAGATTGAAAGTGTATCAATCTAATGCCACTGCTTCTGACATCGGCATCTAATTTCTGTGATTCTGCAGCTGTGTGTGTGCGCAGTCTAACTGACAGATGTGATGTTGACCGTTCATTCATTGCTCTGTCTCTGCAGTCCCTGGCCCACATTTGGAAGGCGAGACACACGCTCACAGAGCCAGAAGTACGTTATTACCTCCGACAGATTATATCCGGCCTCAAGTACCTACACAGCAGAGGAATCCTGCACAGAGACCTCAAGCTAGGTATGTGAGCTGAAACCCTAAAGAATCCCAGGAATCTGCTGTGACTCCGGGCAGGCATATGTTAGGTGCGGAATGCTGACTGGACAAATGTTATTGTCTCTTTCAGGCAACTTCTTTGTCAACGAGAACATGGAGCTGCGGCTAGGAGACTTCGGCCTCGCTGCAAAGCTGGAGACAGTCGAGCAGAGGAAAAAGTAAGAATATTTTCCTACTTCTTTTGAGTATTATCATAATTTTGGTAGCTAAAAGAAGGTAACTGGTTTTTCAAGTTAAACAGTGTTTGCATTGCGACTTAAGTGATTCAAATACATAAAAGTATCACCAATGTACCTGAACATCAGCCCCTTTCTAATCTTTCTAAAACACACATGAACATAAAACCATTACGTCGGTTTTCTAAGCACACACTTCCTCCCACAACTGTCCCCAGTAAGTCCCTAACTAAACCGGTTTCCAGGTGACAGTTGAGCGTAGCACTCAGAGCAGAGTTTCACTACCTGTTTGACACTTGCCTGGCAAACAAGAGGAATGAGGGCAGGAGGAAAATAAAAAAAAAAAAGCCTTAAACAACCACTTCTTTGTCTTCATGATGCTTTTGCAAAACTGGAGAACATTTACAGTAATGGGTTTTTAAATGAATCCTGCTATTTCCTTTTCTCAGAACAATCTGTGGCACCCCTAACTACCTGGCTCCTGAGGTGCTCAACAGGCAGGGTCACGGCACAGAGTCTGACGTCTGGTCTCTCGGATGTGTGATGTGAGTTGCTTTGGTCCAGTCACGTGTGAAATTACATTTGTAGAATGTTGTTGAGCTGGGTTTTGTTTTCTTACTTCAGTCACTGTGGTAATGACAACGCATTTCCCAGATTGATTGTGGTCTGATTCCTTTTTTTTTTTTTTTTTTTTGGGAGTTCTCTCATTGTTGTCTTGTTTTGTCCCGTTCAGGTACACGCTGATGTGTGGAAACCCTCCTTTTGAGACTCTTGACCTAAAGGAGACATACAAGTGTATAAAGGAAGTCCGGTACAACTTGCCATCCTCGCTTTCGCCTGCTGCACAGAAACTCATCTCAGGCATCCTGCAGAAAAACCCCAGCGACAGACTCTCCCTGGATCAAATCCTCAACCACGAGTTCTTCACCAAAGTATGCAAAAATGCAGTATTTTATTGCTTTACATGCTTTTTAAACCATCAGCTCGTCATAATGCTTTTTTTTTTTTTTTTTTTTTGGTGTGGGCACTTGAAACTAGAACAGAATATGACATGCCAGCACTTGATGTATCATCCTCTTTTCACTTGAAATGAGCCGTGCGTCGACTCGGCTCCATTCCCTCTGCATCTTCCTCACCTTGTCTGCTTTGCTCTCTTGCCTCTTTTTATTTCCTCCTCTAGGGTTTCACTCCTGATAAGCTTCCTCCAAGCAGCTGTGTGATGGTGCCAGAGCTCCATCCCCCAAGCCCTGCCAAGAAATTCTTCACTAAAATGGCTAAGAGCCTGTTTGGGAAGAAGAAGGCAAAAGGTAAGCAGCAGCACAGTCAGGTGACAGTAGAAGAGTAGGTCATCTGTTTCACACGTCAACTCTAGGTTACATATTTGTCTTTCCCTGAATGTAATTATCTTGTACCTTTTTCATACATTAACTTTTTCATGCGTTATGAGAAATAATATCTAGTCAAGTTCATACACAAGGTTGTATTTAGTTTTGGGTTTCTTTTAAATGGAGTACATATAAGAATACTTTTGTGCTTGAATATATTTGTTTTGACTATAGTGCATGAATCTTGTTTTTTTTTGCAGTGGAGAAAATTCCATGTGAGGAGAAAGATGACAAAGACATTTCCAAGCTGGTTTCCGGCATTGTCAAATGTTCAATCAACCGACAGATCAGCTACAAGACAGTGGGACCCAACGAGGTGCGTCTTTGATCTCTTTCTGTGTCCTACTTCTGCAAGAAAACAAAATGGCACCTTGTTCACAGCAGACCAAAATACTTCAAGCAACTAATAAGAACAGTGAAAATCAGTACTTGTGTTCTACATGTGGGACTTGATACTGAAGACATCGGCTGTGGCAAAAAAAAAAAGTGCTTATGTAACATTCTCTTTGAATAATGGATTATGCTTTTAATTATACAAAGGAATTGTGCTTCCTAAAGAGATTTAGTAATGTGTTTTTTGTAGCTTTTGTTTCTGAGACTGCAGTGTAAGAATCTGTGTGGTCCCAGAAATCCTTTGGCTTGTCAGCAGAGGAGTGAATTTCAGAGGAAGAATGTTTGTTTTTTGAGGGCAGTTTTCTTTGTAGTATTTGAGGAAACTGTTGGTGCGTACTCTTCTCATCAATCCTTTTTTACAGTTTGCATTCTATGACTGACTAGTTTTCTATTTATGGATTCAAAATTGAGAATGGGATCCGAGACTAAATGCCACGACAGCAGGAAGCTCAGTTGGCCAATCCCTGATCAGTATGGTCAAGCTGCTATTTATAGAGCCCAAAAGAACTACATTGTTTACTCCTCGGTGTGAATATTTCTCTGACTGATTGATAATGAGAAACCAGGTTGTTGTCAAGGGGCACAAACAGAGTTTTGACATCTACTTTGTTTCAACTCTTTCTCTTTTTGTAGTTTTTCTTGCTAACCAAAAGATTACTAGCAGATTATTCTCACAAACTGCTTTGTGTTTACATGACAATAGAAACTACTTATCAAATATGTAGAGTGTGTACAAAGCACACAGGAAACTGTGTTGCTAAAAGTAGTTTTGCCCTAGTTAAGTTGCAATGAGATTCACACAGTTCAAACGTTGAAAACCAGTGACGCAACAGTGGTTTGTGGTGTTGTCTAATATATAAACTACAAAACCAGGTTGCAGGTGCAGTCTTAATTTAGGCAGTTGTGCAAACATTAATGGAACACTGAATGTCTCACACAGTTCTTAATTCTGTGGGTACTTTCTTCTGTCTTGTGCTATAACTTAATGTTGGGTTGTCATGAATGTGTGTTAAATACATCTTTTGTTTCTGTTTTTTTTGCTGCTCAGGTTCCCTCTCCCACCGGTCAACTGGTCAGCTCTGTGCCTCTAGAACAAACTCCTGCTGAGGAGGAATCCAGGAAGTCCATCTCCCGCTCCTTCAAGGGCACCATGGCCAGCAGCAGTGAACGTAAGGCGCTATACTTTCTCCTCTTGTACATGAATGTCATAGCATTTTTTGATTCCTTGTGTCTTCGGAGAATAGGTTGACTTATTTATTTGTTTTGTCTCCAGCGTGTGAGGACGTCCTGACCCCTGCAGCTGTCGCTGAATCAGCCATGAAAGTTCTCAACAGCTGCCTGGTCACTATGCCTGCAGGTAGGAGAGCACAAATAATGCTGAGTCCTAAAGAATGAAAGAGCATTTATAGGCCACAGCTCGCTAAAGATGTAATACTGCAGCCAGTCAGTTTTATGTAAACCTCAAGACGGTAAAGGAATGCTGCTTAATTTTTTATCAACTGGTATTGGACACAAAAAGCAGTACAGCTTCCTCCTACATGAACTTTTTTTTTTTTTTTTTTTTTTGGGTTGTATAACAAATTATGTAGAAGCATTCAATTTTAATCAACCAGATCTTCTTGTTCCAGCCTTCTCTTTAGATCCTCTGAATATCTGCTGACTCATGTAACCTAGGGAACCTTCTTAAATGAAGCGCTGTCTTAACAATAGTAGCATGTTTTCTTTCTGACTTTGGAAATAAAAACATTACTATTTCCCCCGTATATTCTAACGGCTATGTCTCATTGTCCCCAGCTACCAGAAACCCGCCCTGTTTGTCCAGGCCTCAGTCCTTCCTGTGGGTCACTAAATGGGTGGACTACTCCAACAAATATGGTTTTGGCTATCAGCTCTCCAACCAAAGCATTGGTGTGCTCTTCAATGAGGGAACACATCTCAGTCTTTGTAACCAACGCAAGTAAGTACTTTAAAGTGCTGCAGTATTTACTGAAGGTGTTGTGTAAACACTGGCGACTGTGCGTTAGTCAGCCAAGTTATTGACTTGAGTCACATAACCCCAGTTAACAAACCCTACCCTTGGAATCATTGTAGTGTTTAAAAAAAACATTGTTCTTTTTCTCCCTCCAAACAGGACGGTCCACTACTGCTTGACCAACAACAAACACTTCAATTTCCCTGCCGCCACTCTACCTGAGCAGCTTCGCAGCCAGAAACAAATAGTCGAGCTCATGGCGAACTACATGGAGCAAAACCTAATGGAGGTATGAGAACTAGGTTATTTTAGCTTGAAGAGTGCAGCCATTTGTTTAACTATACTGTATATTTAATACTGTTTACAAAGAGCTACTGAGACAAGGTGATAAAATTAACTTTAGTAGATTTTCAAATTTTGTGTAAGATTTTTTTTTTTTTTTTTTTTTTTTTTTATGGCATTTTGTAAACTTGAAGTTTCTTTCTGTCTTCTTCAAGGGTGGGGATCTGCATTGTGAGGAGCAAGTCTCAGGTCCTCCTCCTTTGCTGCTGCAGTGGGTGAAGACCGACCACGCTCTTGTCATGCTCTTCAACAATGGCACCTTGCAGGTTTGGGAAAACTCAGTCAAAGATGCATTAAAAAAGAAGCAGTGCAATAATGGGGAGGAAAAAAAAAATATTCTTCTCGTATTAATACTGTTTTTCATCCCTTTTTTGTTAGGTAAACTTTTACACAGACCACACGAAGATCATCCTGTGCAAGTCAACCGATGACTCCTATCTGCTCACCTACATCAGCCGGGAGCGCGTCTCATGCACTTACCTCCTCAGCATGCTGGCTGAGATGGGCTGCACCTCGGAGCTCAGACACCGACTGCGATATGTGGTCCAGCTGCTCCAACACCATGCCGATGCCTGAGAGCACCAATCAGTGCCTCCCAGGCTGCCTGAGTGGCAGATGCCTTCGAGGCACTCTGACTGGTTAAAACCTCTTCTTAGGCAGCCTGACTGTTTGATTATATTCCTCAAGGCAGTGCCGGGAGGAGCCAACGGATGGAAAGATGCTCAGAGAAGTTGAGCAGATATTTTTGCCTTGACTGGTGCTTATGCTGCTGTTTATCACATGGATTGACCTTGATAAACATCAAGCAGTCAGGAAGTTGCCCCCATGCAGCATCTGCCTCAAGGATTAGTGCCTGTTCAGCTTATGCCTCAAAGGTGTCCACCTGGAAGGTATTGATACCTAAAATAAGAGACTCCTACTTGGCTTGAAATGATGGATCCCTTACAGGCAGATGCCTAAATAAACACCACAACTCTCATTCACCTTTCCTTCACTCAAAACCACTGCTTCTTGGCTGGACCTTTCTAAGCCAGCTCCCAACCCTGCAACATCAGCTTCCTGTTACAGCTGATAACCCAGGCATGGTCTCCCAAACAGTATCTTAACACTAAAGTTGTCCTTTTTGCTTGCAAAGGAACAAGGATAATCTTGTAGCTGGAATGCTTTTAGGCTCAGTTTTCCAAAAGTTTTTTAGCAGCAAGCTCACTTACTGGCGTTAACTTGCACTGGAACTGTGGCTTTACAGCAGAGATGCTTTGGGAAGAGCTGTGGTTTGGTTAGAGAGAAAAGGATCCTCCTACCCTCGGTTGGTTTCTGGCCTATTTGGATTATGGTGCACACTCTCTTTGTCCTTTTTTTTTTTTTTTTTTCATTTTAAAGAATTATTGAGCCAGCTATAGGATCACATTACAATCTTGACCTCACATGCACAAATAACATTCCTGGCTTTATTTGATGACAGTGACGCAAAAGTTTGCTGCTCCATCATCACTTGTCTTTTTTGTTAATTAGACATTTTTCACTGACCTGGTACACGGCATGATAACGGGGCTATGGGAGCAACACAATATTGCACTTGTTTTTTTTTTGTAAATTCATCTGGAAAATGAATCCTTTTACAAACACATGTTGTTTTATTTGTTTTTAACTAAATACCAAATTTTCTTTGTAGGTTTTTAAAATGATTCCGTTTTAAATTCACATACTAAAATTGAGTGTGTGCCACACATGCAGGTAAACAAAACAGTTGGTTGGAAAGTGAGGGGGGGGGGGGGGGGGTTAAAGTGCCTTTCTGAGGGATGTCTGTATAGTGCAATAACAACCCTTTGTGAATGTCAAGCTGGATACAAACAGAGGTGGGTTTTCTAGGTGGGATTTACTTTGTACTTTGAGCCAAGTTTGAAAGTAAGTCCAATAGCACTACACTCTCACTACCTGGTATAAGCTTTTAGAATAACTGGTATCATAAATATATATCCCAGTAATATCTATTAAAAAAAGAAAACATTGTACGCTGTTGTACTGTACTGTAATCCTTATCGGTTTACATTGCTTTCTCGACCCAGAGTTGTATCCTAAAAACTGTGACCTGGAATGCAAGTATTACGTACATGTGTTTTCAAAAACCCAACATTGTGTAAGCCATCTGCCAATTAAGAAGAGTCCTTATTTTTTTGGCACATAATGTCCTGTTTATTTATTTTTTATTTATACATGTTTTTTTATTTATTGTTGTGTAAATGTTACGGTCTTGACACAAGGAAATGTTCAATTCCAATCACTTTTTCTATGAAACGTGTAGGGGGAAATGGGACAAAAATAAAGTTTATTGAAAATCACTTTGTTTGAACTAATTGTTCCACATTTTAAAGTGTTGCATTTGACACTATATTAAATGAAAAGGCTGGACAGACTGGAAAAAAAACAAACTTATCTGATCCTCTTTCTCTGATTGATCATAATTTTAATGTGTACAAAAAATGTGATTTCTTGGCTACATGAAACCTTAATATTTTGAAAACAAAAACTTAGTTCATGCATTTAACATCATGGTAAGATAATGTATCACCAGATAATGAGAAAACAGTTGTAAGGTTTAATGCCCGTTTCATTGTTTCAGATAGTTGAACTAAAGTTACATTATCTGTGCGCATTCTTCTCATGTCCTCAGTAATAGTTTACATAACTGTCATACCATCTGAGACGAGTGCTGATAGGATTAGTAAGCATTCCAGCACACCGTTTAAAAATGTATGTGGCTTGACTGTGATGGTTTAAAAAAAGTGAACATGTACTTAAAAGAAAAGGCTATTTATGTCAGTACACATATCTTTATTGTTTTTATCGGCTGGCAGAATTATGGGTCAGCTAGGTAAGAGGAAAAATGGAATTGCATCGGGATAGCAATGTAAGATATGGACATAGACATAATGAGCATATACACGTCAAATCAATTCATACACACATAAGCAGCAGACAACACTGGTTCAGGGAAATGCACACAAATGCATACTGTAGAGCCTGGCACCCTGCCACACTCTTAGCTGTTTTCATGATGCAGCAGTGCTCCTACGAACCATGAACACACTCAGAGACAATGAGAGCTAAAGCAGCCTTGTTAGATGGTTGTTTTGTGTTGTGTGCCTGTGATTGTGTGTATACAAAAGAGTGTGGTGTACAGATAGACAGGACTCACTTGGCAGCTACTCAGAGAAACCCCATAGAGAGAGAGAGAGAGTGAAATGTCATCTCACTAACCTCCTGATTGCATGCTGGAATCTGGGGCAGCAGCAAGAGATCAAAAGGCTGCTTCACTCTAAAGGCCAAAATGTGCTGATTGCACATCTTTAATTGCAGCGTGAGCCATTCACTTTACTCTGTAAGTAATCTCAAAGGTGTAAGTAATAATCTCTATCTGAAGTCTTTGCTATCTCACTTCACAAGGTCTACAAATCTTGTATAAAAAAAGATGCTCCTGAATAATTACAAACTTAAATCATATAACAGTGATTCATGTAAAGGCTTGGCCTCATCTGATGTAAAAGCTGGAAAGGAAAAGAGTTGTTTCATCTGATGTAGGGTTAGTATTTGGGAAAAGGACAAAGGAAAACATTGTCAGGGGCGATTGTTCTAAAAAGGCAAACTAGCAAAAGGTGATCTTTACCACTGCTGACATGTCAAAGTCAAAGTCATCTTAATTGTCAATTTTTCATACATGTGCTGGACATACAGAAGAAATGTCTATCAGTGATATAATAGTAAACATATGAAGAGACAAGTGAGTAGATACAGATATATATATTGTGCTCATGTGTGCCCAAGTTAGAAAGAGAGATTAAGACCAGCAGGTAAAAATAGAGGAGGAAAGCTGTATTCTTAATTATTCACATCATTATCCTCTTTTGAATTTCAAAGGCCTTATTATGTAGTCCAAAGATGTCTGAAATCCAGCAAAAATGATTTGGTATCTATGATTCTCTAATACACATGGCTCATATTTCTTTAGATGCTGACTCTGACAGCATTGACCCAGAGGTTTTAGGTTCTGAAATTATAGCAATACTGTTTTGTGATTTGGATGAATGTTGGGGTGGTGGACAGAAGAGCAGCAAAAACTGTCTGTTTATGTTTGATGTGTTTAAGCGAGCTAACTTTTTCTCAAGAGCTTGGAAAAGAAGACAAGATAGTCTGTTTAATTAGTGTTTATTTTTATTTTTTGACTGTTCCACGACAATGAATAGGCATACTATACACTCTGATCCTGGAGCGTTTAAATTCATGGTGTCATGGAAGCCCATGCTGGCTGGGAATAAATGTATGTATGACACAACGATTAGAAAATCATCAAACTGTTACAAATAAAGGCTGAAAGGAGTACTAACAGTCAGTAAGATGGTGACAAATGTTTGAATCATTAAAGTAAAAGAGTATTTTCCCCCAGTTTCTTTTAAGATAAAACTGAAAGTGAAAGCACCAAAGTTTTTATAATAATATTCTTGGCTTTATTTTCCAGGAAACTCAAGCTGCTCATTTATGGTCAAAAGAGCATGTGAGAGTTTTAACTAGGACATGCTAGGGTAAACTGTCAAGCATGTTTACAAATGACATTAGAAGTCATAATTTTACTGTTTGTCTTGTCTTCAAATAAATTCAGCTACTCTGACAAGAAAGTGTATATAGGCCTATTTAATTTTCAGAATTTGAACATGTTGTTGCCTAACTCACGCCTTAAAAGACAAACAAGGTGGCTTTCAAAAAACGTAATTTAAACAGTCTGTCCACAACTTTCTGTGTAAAGACTTGTTTATTTCTAGATTTTGTTCCTTAGCATTTGGTATGGGCTTTTATTTTGAAGGCGGGCTTTCAACCTACCTGCCGCAAAGCGGATGAAAGAAAAAGGCGGTAGTTCGACGTTAACCCAGTGGAAGACTTTGGAAGTGCATCATCGTGTTTCTGCTGCACATTTCAGCACCTGTCTGGAAGATGCTCAAGTTATGAAACACTGTGAGTTTGAGACTTTGGATGCTGTTTCAAATGTAAAAGGGGCTTTTGTGTGTTTGTTCATTTGAATGTGACGAGTGAAAGAAATCCCTCCTGCTTATTCCAGATGCTGCTGCTGCTGCTGCTCTGCTGCTGTTTGAAAGAGCAGCTTCGTGTTTGTGAATTTAAGGCACTTAATATGAGTTTATTAAGCTTCAACATCAGTATAAGAGAGGATCATTGCTCTAGCTGGAGATGTTATACATGCATTAGCAATGATGTTTGAAGTAAATAGAAGAATCTCAGAGAGCACTTAACATGAATTCAAACATATCACAGCCGGATATCTCTGAAGTTGGTTTCGGAGAAATGCTGAGCAACATGACTAAACATCAGAAATGTCAAAATAATCTTACTGTCTCTATGCCTTGGATGATTTTTCTCCATGAATCAATACAGACACAAAAAAAAAAAGGTACAGAAACATTGTGCATTGATAGTTTGTCAGTAATGAAGAGTTTAGTAGTGTATGTATAGGTGTGTGACTGTTTTTTTCTCCACTCTTAAATATGAGTCAATGCATCCAGCAGATGACCTTCACCCCCCCCCCCCCACCCCCCCCCACAGCAGACCCCGCATCACTAAGCTCTGGCTTTTATGGCTACTTCAGCATAAAATCATTTCCTCAACACAATACTTACATAATCTAAATGGCAATATGCCAACTCCTTTCTGCAAAGTGATCAGCACATCATGCCAAGTCATCTTCTGACTTTCTTTTTAATTTTGTTAAAATCGTTGACCCTGCTGATAGTTCACCAAAAGATTTTTTTAGCAGAGTTTGATGTGCCACCAATTATTACTGATGGTTGTAAAATGAATTCCCCCCTTATCTGTTCTGTTCAGATACTCTATACTTCAATAACTCCTTACTACACCAGAGCTAAAACCGAGAGAAAGGTAGAACGATATACCCTGCAAAAGTAACGTACCACATCATTCATTCATTCAACAATGTGTCTTCTAGCTACATCTGGATCAGCTGTTATATTAATAGTTGACATGATGATAATGTTGCTCACAAAGACAGCGTACTTTGTGGCCTTGGTTTTTCCTTCCTTTCTTTACGAGGGAATAAAAGTCACAACAACTGCTGGGATCTATTAAATCTTTGGAGAAGGGGATTTTCGACAAGGCTAACTGGGTGGTATGGTGAGGGAGTCAAAGCAGGGGACATCCCTCCCTTCCCCTGTTACTGCTTCTCTGACCCTGGGCCACATCTTTTCCTGGCTGAGATGTGTGAGAGTGCGTTTGTCTTGGCTCAGGCTGATCCCTGCGGGTTCCTGCCGCTGATGTCACATTCCTGTTCCTGTTACTTGTGTACGTCACACACCAGCCCGACAGGAAATGTGGGTTTCCTTTTACGATTCTCCCTCTGTTTTCCATTAAAAGAACAGAGGATGTCATCCACTTTCTTGCTGCCAAATTGAAATGTTCTCTCCGGGTTTTTAGTGAATAACGCATCAATAGAGTAATTCAGAAAAAGCTTTTAGGGCTTTTTGAATTTAATCATATTTGTTTAGTATTTAAAAAACAGCATACAACCTCTGACAACTCATTTTTGCCTTTAAGTTTCTTTTAATTAAAAGACATGCTGAACTTATTTTACAGCTTGGTCTTGACAAAAGTGCTTGTGAAGGGATCTTAAATACACACAAAGTAAAGAGGCTAGTAGTGTGAAAGTTGCTGTCTGTTAGAGGACCACATAAGGCCCTTTTACCCTGCAAGTCCGTAACCGAGTGGTAACACAGCTCTGCCATCACTACGCCTTTGTTCTTTTACATTGAATCACAGCAACGGCGTAATATAGGTTGTCTCAGGATGTGATTTTGCAAAGCGTTGCAAAAGCACAAGAGGCACAACTTGTAAACATACAGGGCTATTCACATACATACAGCTCAGGGGCGGAACAACTTTGCAGCATAATTAATACATCCTGCTTTTTAACATCATGATAAGGTGTAAGAGGAGCTTAAGTATCCTGCATTGAACTGGCAATTTATAAAGGGCAGATTCTGCTGCAGTGCTGAAACGAAGCTCGTTACACCACCTTTGTAATTTTTACACTGAACCAATCACAGCAGTCATGCGTATTGGTGTCCCAGTTTATGATTTTTACACACCATGATGGCTTTCCAGCAGCAAATTTGGCTTCACCTGTAAACGTAAATATGTTAATTCATATACATTAACACAGTCGGTTCTAAGCTAGTTAGCTAAACATGCTAACATGCTAAGTAAATTAAAGCAAACAAATTCCATTTAATTTCCAATTCTTTTGCAGTTGTGTGGCATAGAG